ACGGGCTTCCGCTTCGGGCCCTTCCGGTAGGAAGCGGGGAAACGAGGCCCAGCTGCTCCGGAGGAGGGATACGGCCCGGGCACCGCGGCCGCGGAACAACACCTGTCTGAGATAACGCAGAGGTTAAATAGTCCAGGGGTATTTTTATTGGGAAACGCAGAAAACGGCCCCAAGAGCGGGGCTGGGAGGGAGGAGGGGCCCACGGGACAGGGCTGGGCAGGCTGAGGGGGGAGGTCTGAGCGGCCAAGGGGTGATCCCGGGTTTTGAGGACAATCCCCGGGTTTCAGAGACAGGATTTCAAACATCAATTTCCACCTGTCCAGGGGAGCAGGGACCCTAGAGGCGGGCAAGGCACCTCACAAACCCCACACACACAGTGTTCCATCCGGGCACTGCCCCTGATCTTATGTCAGCACCAAAAATAAATTAATGTAAAAGGACGAAAACAGCATTTTAATAAGGAATTACATCGAAGGTACAAGTTGCAGCAGCTTCCCCCCCAGCTCTGACAGAATTCCAGACAGAAATAAATTACGTGGTTCCTACAGGCTATGGGAGACTGTCAGACTCTGCACTTCCAAAAAAGAGAACTGTGAGCTTCAAACAAACAAAGGAACATTTTCCAGCCATTGATTCTGGCCTTAATCTCACTTTAAGCACTAAAAAACCCCAACCCTCTGCACTTCTGTAACTCATCAGCCAAGAAGAGACTTTGTTGCATATTTGGGTTTAAAAGACAATAAAGTAGGACAGTGCAAAGCCATAAAGGTTCAGGAGATATATTAAACAGTCTGTATGGAGAACACACGGATTCACGTGGCAACCCTGCTCAATGCAGACAAAAGACAACTCCGGATCCAAAGCCTTGCAAGGCAGCCCCTTCACTTTGTCCAGCTGACTTTAGGAATGTCATAATGCTCAGTCAGAGTATCCAAGTGCCTGTTGAAGTCCTGGGGGACAGGAAGAGAAAGAAAACGTTTAAGATTCGTCACTGTTGAACCACCAGACCTCCCTGCTCTGTGCTCATCAAGGTTCCTCCAGCCTGATCCACACACACTGGGGGGATCAAGGGGGATGATTTCTCTTTACCTCCACCCGCTGCTTGTGTGTCTTGGACGCTTTCTTCAGGATCCTCTCCATTTGCTGCAGGAGACACAAGACAGGCCCGTGACCTCCAGCCCCCTCAGGGGCCGCGTCCGAGGGGTCGCTTGGGGTTTTTAAACCCCCCCAATGATCCCCAAACAGGGTCTGTCCCAGCCAGCGTGGCCCTACCCGCTTCTCCTGCATCTTCTCGTAGGCCACCTGGGCCGGGGTCCGCTTGTCCAGCCCGCGCTTCTTCTCCTCCTCCTGCTTCTTGCTGCTCACGATCTGCTCCACGATCTGCGCCTTCTCCTTCGCTTTCTTCTTCTTCCTACGGGCGGACAAGAGGGCGGTGACAGCCCGGCCCCGGGGCCGCCCTGAGAGGGACGTTGTGAGACAGTGAGACCGTCAAGACCCTCTGCTTCCAGAAAGAGCTGTTAGCAAAAGGACGTTTTCCAGCCATTGATTCTGGCCTTAAACCTCGCTTTAAGCACTAAAAAATAATGATAATAATAAACAACCTCCGCAATTACAAGTCGGGGCTGCTCAGCCCCTGAGGGGAAAGCGCGAGGAACCGGGCCTGGAAAGGGGTGACACAGTGAGACCGTCAGGACCCTCCGCTGCCCAAACGAACGGCTGATATCAAACAAAAGGGACATTTCACTTTCCAGCCACTGGTTCTGGCCTTAAATCTTCTTTTTAATGCTTTAAAGCATTAAAAATAGTGAGACCCGTCAGGACCTTCTGCTTCCGAAAAGAGCGGCTGGTATGAAACAAAAGGGACGTTTTCCAGACGTTTATTCTGTCCTTAAATCTCGATTTAAGCACTAAAAAAGAAAAGAATAACCCCCTGAGGGTCCAAAAGTCAGAGCTGCGGAGCCCCCCGGGAGGGGGAAGCGCGAGGAGCCCTGAGAGGGACGCGGGGACCCGTCAGGACCCTGCGCTTCCGAAAAGAACGGCTGGTATCAAACAAAGGGACATTTCCCAGCCATTTTCCAGCCAAAATCTCGTTTTAAGCACTAAAAAAATATAAATAATAAAGAATATGACCCTCTGCACTTCTAAAAAGTCACAGTGAGGAGCCGGGGCCGCCCTGAGAGGGACGTTGTGTGACAGTGAGACCGTCAAGACCCTCTGCTTCCAGAAAGAACTGTTAGCAAAAGGACGTTTTCCAGCCATTGATTCTGGCCTTAAACCTCGCTTTAAGCACTAAAAAATAATGATAATAATAAACAACCTCCGCAATTACAAGTCGGGGCTGCTCAGCCCCTGAGGGGAAAGCGCGAGGAACCGGGCCTGGAAAGGGGTGACACAGTGAGACCGTCAGGACCCTCCGCTGCCCAAACGAACGGCTGATATCAAACAAAAGGGACATTTCACTTTCCAGCCACTGGTTCTGGCCTTAAATCTTCTTTTTAATGCTTTAAAGCATTAAAAATAGTGAGACCCGTCAGGACCTTCTGCTTCCGAAAAGAGCGGCTGGTATGAAACAAAAGGGACGTTTTCCAGACATTTATTCTGTCCTTAAATCTCGATTTAAGCACTAAAAAAGAAAAGAATAACCCCCTGAGGGTCTAAAAGTCAGAGCTGCGGAGCCCCCCGGGAGGGGGAAGCGCGAGGAGCCCTGAGAGGGACGCGGGGACCCGTCAGGACCCTGCGCTTCCGAAAAGAACGGCTGGTATCAAACAAAGGGACATTTCCCAGCCATTTTCCAGCCAAAATCTCGTTTTAAGCACTAAAAAAATATAAATAATAAAGAATATGACCCTCTGCACTTCTAAAAAGTCACAGTGAGGAGCCGGGGCCGCCCTGAGAGGGACGTTGTGTGACAGTGAGACCGTCAAGACCCTCTGCTTCCAGAAAGAGCTGTTAGCAAAAGGACGTTTTCCAGCCATTGATTCTGGCCTTAAACCTCGCTTTAAGCACTAAAAAATAATGATAATAATAAACAACCTCCGCAATTACAAGTCGGGGCTGCTCAGCCCCCTGAGGGGAAAGCCCGAGGAACCGGGCCTGGAAAGGGGTGACACAGTGAGACCGTCAGGACCCTCCGCTGCCCAAACGAACGGCTGATATCAAACAAAAGGGACATTTCACTTCCCAGCCACTGATTCTGGCCTTAAATCTCGCTTTAAAGCGTTAAAAATAGTGACACCCGTCAGGACCTTCCGCTTCCGAAAAGAGCGGCTGGTATGAAACAAAAGGGACGTTTTCCAGACATTTATTCTGGCCTTAAATCTCGCTTTAAGCACTACAAATAAAATAAAATAAAAAATAACCCCCTGAGGGTCTAAAAGTCAGAGCTGCTCAGCCCCCCAGGAGGGGGAATCGCGAGGAGCCCTGAGAGGGACGGGGGGACCCGTCAGGACCCTGCGCTTCCGAAAAGAACGGCTGGTATCAAACAAAAAGGACATTTCATGTTCCAGCCATTGATTCTGGCCTTAAATCTCGCTCTAAGCACTAAAAAAGGGGAAAAAAAACCCCAACAAAATACCCCCCTGCCGTTCTCCGCCCGCGCGCGCCGCTCCCTGAGGGGCAGCACGAGGAGCCAGGGCTGCCCTGACTGGAAAGTCTGAACACCCGAGTCTCTCCAGGATTGAAAAACCATCCCCAGACCTCCCCGTACGTTTTGTTTCACCTCGGACCGAACAATTCTGAATCGTTTTTTTGTAGAGCTGAAGGGGCACCAATGAGCCAGGCCGGGGTTTCTGCCCTCAGGTGGGAGTTCTCACAGGGCCGGGGGGCCAGAGTGGTTGGAATGGCTGAGAAATGCAGGTTGTGGTCAATAAATACGTCTGCAGCTGTGCAGTTATAGAGTCAGAGGATGTTTTGGGTTGGAAGGGACCTTAGGTATCATAAATTAGGTTATGGTAATTATTATTATAGGTAAATTAGGTTATGGTAGGGGGGTTTATGTTATGGTTGGACTTGGATCTTCAAGATCCCTTCCAGCCAGGATGATTCGATGATTCTGTGTAGATTCAACCCCCTCTGCATGGGCAGGGACACCTCCCACTAGACCAGGTTGCCCAGTTCCTTCTCCTCTCTTTTAATTTTCATACAGCCTGTAACGTCACGTTTCTGTTCACTTGTGTGAACCATCTATTCACACGTTTTCAGTGTAAAGGCCATATATGTAGCAGTACTTATGTATCATGTCATGGTAATAACTGTTAACTAGTAGTAATGTGTGTTAGCAGCTAATACAGAATAAAGGGAATAAGCAGATTTTATAGATACTACTTCCAGTACTACCATTAGCATACAATGTGTATTACAAGGAAAAGTGAGAGGGAAAGGATAAGGAGTTACCATCACTGTTACTAATTTGTATTAGGTGTTAATTCTAGTATTTGGTGTTAATTCTTAAAGAAGACAGACACTACGAACACTTTTCAGTGAATTTACCATATCTGAAGGCATGAAAAAGCACAATCCAAGTTTACCTGCTCCCTCAAATATACAATCAAGCAGCTCTTAGTTATTGGGCTAAATACTGTAGTGTGAGTCTTTGTTGTGCACACAGGAGGGAGGTGAGTGATGCTGGAAAAGGGCCTTAAGCAGACTGGTGATTTGATGAAATGCTCCTATTATGAT